ACGAGCCTGAGCCCCAGGAGGATGTGGAGAGCAAGATACCACCTTTGGGAGCCTTAGCTGGGTCCAGCCTCAGGCACCTGAGACAAGTGGAGGATGCAGAAGACCATGCAGCACTTTCCAGCAAGGCAGAGGAGGAAGATTTCAACTTAGAAAAAGAGAAGCTGGTGGTGAGACACCCGGTGAGCACAGCAGCTACACCAGCCCCACTGACAAGTACAGCAGCATTGCTTGAGAGTTCGGAAGGTTTTGAATGGCCTTTGGGTACCCTTGGGACCTGCCTGCTGATTGTGATGGGGATCAGCATGTTGGTACACATACAGAGTGTGTTTTACCCACGACCATTTTGCCTGATATCAAAAGTTAAGCAGTCGGGTTTGGGTCTTGTCTAGGGTTAGATGACAATGTAGGAGGACCAAGAGGTTTCCCCAAGGCTGGACAGTCATGAGTGGCAGGGTGTGTGGGACAGTATGGGCGAGTATCTAGTGCACTGGGCCCGTCCAGTACATTGGAAGTGTTGGAGATGGAAGGCAGCAGTATGGAGTCCCCAGCGACAAGTTGCAAGGGGAGGGTGAATTATTTTGAGCCTGGTGGGCCCAAGACACTTCAGGCCATCAGGGCAGAGATGCAACATGCAGATGGACTCATGATCGAAGGGTGGACTTAACAATGGACACTATTGCCCAGGTTATTTGCAAGTGTGAACACTGCACACAGCCCCTCCTGCTTTGAAAGACTGTTACAAGAAACGGAGGCTGACATCATGGACCGGATGGACTCAGCAGCTTTATAGGGATTGATCCATGTACTAAGGAATAATCTCTCTCTCTCTCTCTGTGGATGTATATATAAGAGTGATGGTATATTGAAAATGTGGAATCTGAGCATGATGTGAATGGTATGGAATAAGGGGTGGATACTGTCCTGCATTCAGCAGTAGCAGTCATTTTTTCCCATCATTATTAGCTGGTTCAGCACTGTGATTTTGACCTTCGACCTGGGAACAGTGCTGATAACACCGATGTTTTTAGTTATGGCTCAAATGTTTAGTCTGACCTAGGACTTCGAGTCTCATGGTCTGCCAGGGTGGAGGGGAAGCCGGGAGGAAGCAGAGACTTGACCCAAACTAGCCAAAGAGGTATTCCACCCACAGCACGTCATGCCGAGGATGTAAACTGGGAGTTACACAGAAGGGCTAGTTCACTGCTCGACCGGGCTGGGTATGGGTTGGTGGGTGATACTGTATTCTCTTCCCTTGTTATTTCCCTTATCATTATTATTATCGGTGGTAATAGCAATGGTTTGTGTTATACCTTAGTTACTAAACTGTTCTTTTCTCAACCTGTGGGAGTTACATTCTTTCGATTTTCCTCCCCATCCCTCTGGGAGCGGGGGGAGGGAAGAACGGGATGTGGGGGAGTGAGAGAGAGACTGCGTGGCTGATTTGTGGCTGATTTATGGCTGAGCTGAAACCATGACATAAGTAAACTAGTGCTTCAGGCAATGTATTGACATCTGTAAATTTGTAAAGGTTTTTAATTGTGACCTTGTTTTCATCTGTTAATAGATTGAGTGGGTTGTTCCCTTTCAAAGACTGATATTTTGCTGGGTATATAAATGCGTGCATTGAAAAGGTAAAGGCGCTGTAAGAGGAGCTAAAATGCTGGGATTAGGATGTGTAAATGACTGTGCATGTTTGCCAGAGGAATTACTAATTCTTTATCAAAATCTGTTGGCCACTATTTTCTATTTTGCTTCTTGCATCTCTGTGGGTGTATGTGGTTTACCGTATATGTTTTGTTTTGTGTTTTAGGTCCTGCAGCATGTCCGTCTACCACTGCTGAGTCCCAAGTTTCTTGTGGGTACAGTGGGTTCTGATCCACTTATTAAGAGTGATGAGGAATGCCGGTAAATCTCCTCATTGGTTTACACAATGGGATTTCATTGCATTGCATCTGTTCTCTAAAACTGTGCTGATTTGTCAGTGGTAAATGGGTAATATCTCACAATTTCCTCTCTTGCAACTGGGAGAAGAAGAGAGGCAAGAAAAAGTGTTTTCTGTTTGCATAATAGTTAGTGGTGTGCCCTAGAAATGTTTTTGTTCTCTCAAGTTTGCAGTGAAATAGTAAACTTTAAGTGTATTTCCCACAATGGCAGTAAAGTGATGAGTTTACGTTTTGACTTGACCTATTCATGCACTTACATAACTTGTGAATACGTGAAGTGTGTGACTGATGACAGTAGAAGCCAGCAATAGTTTTGATTTGTATCTTCTCCTGAGACTGCTATCAGGTGAACTTTGGGGATTAATATTTTCCTATCTTCCACAGGGATCTAGTGGATGAAGCTAAGAACTATCTCCTGTTGCCCCAAGAGCGGCCACTGATGCAAGGACCAAGAACTAGGCCACGCAAACCGATACGCTGTGGAGAAGTGCTCTTTGCAGGTACGTATAGCTCCTGCTGTCTTAGGTCAGAAGAATCTGTTCTGGGTTTTCTGGTGGTAGTGTTCTTGGAAGGCCAGTCCTCACAACATATTTCTGAAGTGACCCGTGCATTAATATTTGGAGGTTTGAGTTAATTTTCACATTCTTGCTCGTTTCTTTGATGCTATGACCACCACAGTACTTCCAAAGTTACATTAATAGTCTTGAAAATCACATTCTGTCTTCTAATTGTAGTTCTTAAGAGTGAGTAACTCGAGGATGGTAAGTGGATTAAGACTCACAAAGTCCAGAGGGATAATTTGTACCAGGCACACACAGAGTACATGAGCTCAGTGCATTGTTATGACACTGTTTTTTGTGCTTGGTTCTTACAGTGGGGGGCTGGTGTAGCGGGGATGCAATTTCCAGTGTCGAGCGCTATGACCCTCAAACCAATGAGTGGCGGATGGTGGCTTCTATGAGCAAAAGACGCTGTGGTGTTGGAGTCAGTGTTTTGGATGATCTTCTTTATGCTGTGGGAGGCCATGATGGTTCCTCTTATCTTAACAGTGTAGAAAGGTAGGTCTCCAGAAGGCCAGTGTACAAGATGTATGATCTATGATGCTATGTTAACTCTGAATGCCTAAATCTGGGTAAAGCCTCTTAAAAATGAATTCATTTTGCCAGCTCTGTTGTTGTTCTGTTGAAAACCTGAAATTTATACTATGTTATATACATTTCCTCCTCCCTTATGTACCCTTTCAATATTGTGTTGGTTTACTGCTGAACTGGGACTTAATGTATAACAGCTTGTGGCATGTTATCCCCAGCTTAATGAGACAACACACAGCCTTTGGTATAAGGAAGGTATATATAAGAGGTGGGTCTGGGTATAATTGGTGGGAGGAGTGCTGATCCTGGTTAACCTTCTTTGCAATTGTGGCCTTGTTTTTGGCATTATTGAGGAAAGTGAGGTTACAGTAAGCATTTCTTAGATGTTGAGGGAAAGATCCTGGAATTTTATTGTGGAGTGGAAACTAAAGATTTAAGGAACTTTGGCACTTACACAGAAGAAGGAAAATAGGTCGGTTTTACACCTGTGAAAGACTTAAGTCAGAAAAGCTTTACCAGGCTTCATATGGCAATCCCCATACCTAAAAGCCGTAAGACTCAAGCACTCCTAGTACTCTAAATCTTGGTCCTGTAACAAATACAGAGAACTATATACACATATATATGAATAATATACACATATGAATCTGTTTTCTCCTTGAGCCTTTCCTTTCCACATACCTCCTTGCATACTCCCAGGTTCCCAAATCATAACCCTAGCCTTACATGTCCTGTGTCCTGCACTTTTCTTCTATGCACCATATTTTCTTGTCTCTGGATTCCCAAGTCCATCTTGCTCTTTCATCCTTTTATCTTGAAATGCAGGTCCTAGTGCAGGCTGAGTTCTTGTGTGAACCTCAGAAAACATGCAGCAGAGTAATAACTCGGGCTGCTGCTCTTTGCATAGAAGCAAGTTACCACATGTCAGCCAGTCTCTGGTAACCTGCTCCCTTATGGACCTGAACCTTTGATCTTCAGTTTGAGTCATCTCACGCAGCAGTTTGAACATCCCTGGAATAACATGTATTGGATGCATTATATGACTCAGAGGTTTTGTCTAACTTACAAATAGCTGCATTGCAGTCTAAACTCAAGACAGGCAGGTTTCATTGCCTTAGTAGCTCCCAAGCATGAGAGAGTCTGAAACATACCTAGACAAGCAATTTACACTATTTGGTATGTTTTCTCTAGGTATGATCCAAAGACCAATCAGTGGAGCAGTGATGTGGCCCCCACCAGTACCTGCAGGACCAGCGTTGGAGTAGCAGTTCTTGGAGGCTACCTCTATGCTGTGGGTGGCCAGGATGGTGTCTCTTGTCTAAACATTGTAGAAAGGTACTTTCTGATTAAAAAAAGTGGGGCTCAGGGAGAAGAAGGCCTCTTAGAAGGTGCAATTGATGCAGATGAGCTGGAGAAAGAGCGATTGCTGCACAGATCTCACAGGGATTTTTGTTTGAACAGAGTAAGGTTTCTGCCCCTTTATGAAGTTTAGACACTTCACTAAGCTTTGTTGTTTATTCTTCTGCCAGGTATGATCCCAAAGAAAACAAGTGGACTCGAGTGGCTTCTATGAGCACCAGGCGCCTGGGAGTTGCAGTGGCTGTGCTGGGGGGCTTCCTTTATGCTGTGGGAGGCTCTGATGGAACTTCTCCTCTCAATACTGGTATGGCTATTGCTGTCCCTTAACTGCAGTCAGCACTTGTCGTGGTCCTGTTTGTCCTTTATGTCCCCAGATGGCTTTTGATTGTTTTAGTGATCAGTTTGTAGTGTTTTTTTCTTCTTAAAATACAATTCTTGCCATATAGTAATTCAGTCTCCAGGCTTGGGAGCACCTATGGCCTGCTTATGTCTTGCTTTTTTTTTTTTTCTTGTTGCTGCATTTGGCAGTGTCCTGAATACAATACTTTGATCATTTGCATAATAGTTGCAAGCATGTCTTTTTCTTCTTTTTTTTTTTTTCTTTCCCCTGCAGTAACCCTTTTCTGCTCTAGGAAGGAAACTGCTAAAGGTAAAACTACTGCAAGATGGTTATGCAGGTCAGTTTGCAGCATTGCCAGCTCCCTCTTGAGTGAAGATGCTGAATGTGATTGACTGTAGGGCTGGAGACAGGAGAGATAATAGAGTTCTGTAGGACAAAAGCATTAGAGTGAGAGATAACAAACTGGTTCGTCATATTTTTGGTGTGTGGAAATTGTAACGTCTTCAAAGATTGAACAATGCTTTGAATGGAGGTTCAAAAGTGCTAACCCCCAGTGTGTCATTTCCTCTGCAGTGGAACGCTACAATCCCCAGGAGAACCGCTGGCACACAATTGCACCTATGGGGACAAGGAGGAAGCACCTGGGCTGTGCAGTATACCAAGACATGATATATGCTGTGGGAGGCAGAGATGATACAACAGAGCTCAGTAGTGCTGAAAGATACAACCCTCGAACCAACCAGTGGTCTCCTGTTGTGGCCATGACATCCCGCCGGAGTGGAGTGAGTTTGGCTTGGTTTTCTTGTTTATACTATACATAATCATGTAGTGAAAACATAGTATAGTGTCATCTTGTGAGGTTTTTCTCTTGCTTCCTCTGTACCTTCACCTCTCTTCTGTGAGAGGAAAGGGGGAAAAGTTTTGCAAAAAGTCAAAGATCTTTAGCAAGACTGGAGAATGAAGTGGTAGTCATATCATTCCATAAACATGTGTAACATGCCTGAGGATGGGGAAATGGAGTCATTTGAGGATCTTTTTAGTAGTTTTGGTCCCTTGTATGGAGTCAGCTACTTAGGTCTGAAACAGAAGAGTTCTTCAGTTTTTTACTTGGTGATGTAGCCTTACTTGGTATGAGATACTCTTAGAGAACAGTATCAAAACTGGTAACCGACTCTTTGGGTGAATTAGGAGATAAACATACTTGCATAGAAGAGCAAGCTAGGAAATTGGGCAAGCAGGTGTTCAGATATAGACTTCATCAAAGTCTTTTACTTGCGTTGAGATGTGTGTGGGAAAGTTTCTGGGCTTTTGGTTAGTATGTTGCCTTTCTTCACTGAATCCTGTGAATGCTGGAAGTTGCAGCATGTCATCAACTGCTAATCTTAGAGCTTTCGGTATACTTACTTGAAAAAAGCGGTTTAAGTAGTCATTGTGCTTAGGCACATGCAAATGCCATGAATATTTCTCATTGGATAGAATCATAGGATGGTTTGGGTTGCAAAGGACCTCGAGATCATCTTATTTCCACACCCTCTGCCATGGGCAGGGACACATTCCATTAGACCAGGTCACTCAAGGCCTTGAACACTGCCAGGGAGGGAGCATCCAAAACGTGGGCAGCTGGTTCCAGTGCCTCACCACCTTCACAGTAAACAATTTCTTCCTTATATCTAAGCTAGATCTCCCCTGTTTAAATTTGAACCCATTGACCCTGGTTGTATCACTACGGTCCCTCATGAAGAGTACTGAATTCTGTAGTAAAGAGTGGACTAATTCTTTCTGTAAATTAGCATTTCTTTGTCTAGTGAGGCAAGTATGAATCATAATTTGAGCAACTACTGGTTTTGGAGGCAGAGAACACATATTTATTTCCATCAAGACATAGTTTGCTGTCCAGTGCTGTCCTTTTTAGTTAATGATCAGGCATTGACTTTTCATGAGCTGCTTCTCTATTTGCTTTCTGTAAGCTGCTAAACAGATGCATCTGTATCTGCAGCCCTCCTGAGTTTTCCAACTTTCTCAGAGCCAAAACAAGCACTTTATATTGTGTTCTTGTATTTTCTCTGTTATGTCACAAGATGTTTTCACTGAAACGATCTTCCTAAACCACAGAACTATTGGAGATTTCAGTGACTTTTTTTTGTGCTTCGGCAGAAAAAAGAGAAATGCTGGAATCCAGGATGCTTACAGATGGTCCAAGCCCCCAGCCTGAGAGGAGCAAGCCAGGGGCTTACATATGGGTCCCTAGTTCAAGCAAGTGTTCCAGGCTGTAGGCTGGTAGATATTCTGGTGCATGCATGTCACACTTGAAGAATTTCAGTCCAGGACATAGTAAGTTTTGTCTGACAAAGGCTTAGATTCTCATGTATCTATTATAATTCTGGCAGTTCTAGTTCTTTTAGCTGGTAATAAGGGGAACCTTCTGCTTCTTCTCTAAGAGACTCTCTGTTTTGAGATAACTTTTCATGTCTCATTATTTTTAGGCTATTTTATTTGCCCTTCCCCCAACCCAAAAGCCTCTACTGCAGACTGCCTTTCACCAAACATGGTTATTAAATCCTTTTAATTCTAACCCTGCTTTTCAGGACCTGTCTTTGCAGGACATCCCAGCTAAGTAGCTGCTACCTGTGGTGCTTGTTTTTCAGGTTGGCCTTGCCGTGGTGAATGGACAGCTGATGGCAGTAGGGGGTTTTGATGGCACAACATACTTGAAGACCATTGAGGTGTTTGATCCAGATGCTAACACATGGAGGTAACTGTTAAGTTTTTGAAACAATCAAAAAGCAATCTCCAGCTGTACCTGCTGCCACCCAGCTGGAGGTGTCCCAGACAAATCAGAAGTGTGATGTACACTGTAGTGAAGAGCTCATGTGTGGTAGCCAGCATAACATTGACATTGTGTCTTGTTGGCTTGCATGGAAGTGTAAGAACTACACTTTGAAAAATGTCACAGAATGTCATTTACCTACAGCATCCCCATGTCTATGACTGTGGCAGTTGAGAAACATTTTCTTGTAGATTTCTGCTTGAATTCCAGTCATTGACAGCATTTTAAGTAAAACTAGAGTGAGATTGTGACAGTTTTCCCATCTAAGTATCCAACAGATTTAACCAACACCTGATGAATAAAGTTGCATTGCATCTTTTGCAGGTGGGAACATGTACAGGTTATTGAGACTCAGAGGAAATAAATGATTTGGCAGGCTTGTTGGGTAGCAAGCAAAAGGTCATACTAAAACCTAGTATGTTTTTAATACTGCTTCTGAATGTAACACAAATGGACCACACTGAGAGATGCCCCTTCTGTTTAGTTTGGGCTGAATCTCTTCCGCTTCTCAATAAAACAGCTTGCCCTTAACAAAAAGAGCTCACAGTCATGAGGCAAAATTAAGCCTACTCATTTTTTTCTCTCAAGCTGAGGCTCTGATTTCCAAATCCTTTTGGAGGAGCTGAAACAGAACACTTCAAGCATATGATGTTCTTCCCCTTTAAATCTGCAAGACAGCAATTAGAAGAATGTCATCAGATTTATAAGCTGAGAGAAATAATATGAAGTTGCTGATCAAAAAATGTATACTGAGCAGAAAAGAAACAGGAAATATAGCCTTTTTAGTAATAACTACCTTGAAATCAGTTGCTTGTGTATTTATTCCCAAATCTAATTAGTACAAAATTTAAAGCTCCTATGGGTATTCTTGCTGCATTAGTAATCTGACAGGAGTGGGGAATAGAAGTTAATGTCTTTATTCCTTCCAGCCTAGTAATACTAGTAGATTAACTCTTTCCTGTTGAGATAAGCTGTCATAAGAAGCAGTGGAGAAATTTCCCCTTGTTTGTGGAGCTTTGGACAGTGCTTTTTGAACTGCTGAGAAAACCAGTTGAGTAGAGAGTAATATGTACTTTATATTCCTTAGCTTGAATGGCTTCAGCTCTTCCCAGTGACAGTAATAACATGTCAGGAGTTACTGCTTGGGCTAGCATTCACAGAAAGTTAGGAGGTTGCTCAGTGTATTTGCTTGTGGTTTTCTCCCACTAAATTCAGTATAGCTGATAACATCTGCAGTCTTTTCTTTCGTTTGCTGAACTTCTTGCTCTGTGAAGGTTATTTTTTGCATCACCCAACTGAGAAATGCTTCTGATGCAGTCTGGATTTAGCAAATTGCATTGGTAAGAGTTGTTTAAAAACTTGCTTCTCCCACTTCTGCCAGCAGACTTCAGTGGCACAGAGGGGAATATGCAGCTGAATTGAGTAGGGATCAGATTTCCATATGAAATGTAGGCACCATTCCGGTAACGTATTTCAGAGAAACAGATGGTGCTTCAGATGAGTTGTACCTTGGTTGGATCAGCTGAATTTTTGGTATTAGAAATATAAAAAAAAATAGTTGAATTGTGAATAGCTAAACCTATTCTTGCTCCTGTGTTATCCAAAATGTAGCCCAAGGTTAACTATAGTCTACAGAGTTCTCTTCTATCTTGTACATTACCAGATGGGGAAAGCAAGTGATTGAGAAAACTGCAGTGTCAAAATGAGAAGCAGTTTCTGCTTTGAGAAAGGAATGAGCAAATACTGCTGTTTACCTTGGAAGTATGTAAGTTGACTGCTACCCAGCTTCTTACTTGTCATGGTCCGCTTTAACCAGAGGTTAACAATGGTGTAATTGTGCTCACAAAGGATGGTTCAGTCTTTCCCATGTTAGCTGCATGAAGGACATAAACCAGTGACCACTGAAACCTTGTCTTTGCAGGTTGTATGGTGGTATGAATTATCGGCGGCTGGGAGGAGGAGTAGGTGTTATCAAAATGACACACTGTGAATCCCATATATGGTAAGCATCAAGAGGGAGGGAGACCCCATGCTTCTCATTCCAAGAAAAACTGAAGAGACTTGTTGACACTGGACCTCTTTGCAGTTCTAGTATGCACAGTCTAGATCCAATATAACTCTTTGCCAGCGACTCTTTCTATGGAATCGTAAAAATGACTTCTGTGAGAGCGTGCCTGCTGGGAGACCATGTTGTCAGACCCCAGGGAACCACTGGACAAAAGTAGAGGTGTTGCTTATGTCCGTATTTTTTCTAAATAGTCTACATTTTTGAATAAACCAAACTGTAAAAGTTACTGTAATGTAAACAGTGCCGATGTAGAAACTATATGCTACACTGGGAGTCTGGCAAGGAGGAGGGTTTCCTGACTTCCCTCCTGTTGTGTGAGCAGTGGATGTGGCAGCTGTGTGGTGGGCGAAAGAGGAAAGTGATAAAGAAAACTTTGCTTTTGCCTTATTTACAGAGAGCTTCAAAAAAGTACTTGACCTGCAAGGTGCCACCTTTGCACGGAAGCTTTTCTGTGCACAGAGTATATTTATTTTTTCATTTAATTTGTATCACATGTTTTCTTTGTACTGCTTACAGTGATAATTCCAGCTTTTTATATACCTGTATGTGCATATATATATGTATTTTATATATATGTATATGTACATGTGCAATTTGAGTTCTGATAAACTGGCAGTAGGGCAGGGCTATGTCCTGCCAGCTACTGTGGTTCCAGCCCTTATGGTATGATTTAGGGTCTCTTAAGAGAGTACAGGAGCTGTGAGGATGGGTGCCCTGAGTATCTTTTCAGTCTTGCTGAAGGCAAGGAGTAGAACTGGAACTCTCATTTATCAACTGAATCAGTGAAGTGCCCAAAAAGGGTGAGAGTGAAAAGGATTTCAAATTAATGCCTTTTTACTGTACAGTGTATGGTACAAAAGTTCAGCTTTTGTCTCTCCCCTCCCCTGTGTAAACCTAGAAACAACTAGTTGTTGCTTACTTATAAAAAACATTTTCTCACATTGGCTGCTAGGTATCAGTTCTTGTCTAAAGCTGGGATGCAGGTGTCATCTGATAATTCTGACTAGCTTAGGTCAATGCTCACCTCTCAGGTTCTTGCTAGAATGCCAGACACACAGTCAGCTCCTGCTAAAAAAAAATTTAGACCAGCATCTTAGCTGCCCTCCAGCCTGTTATCTGTGTCTTTAGAATTCCTGTTGTAAAACACTGGCCATGATGAGATGGTACCCTCCCTATTAGTGATTTTTATTATTTTTATGCACTTTGCCTGTGTGTGTTTAGAACAGGAAAATGTAGGAAACTCATTAAAGAGTTTGGAGGGGATGGACTGTTTGCTGGCACTATGAGTAACTCATGTTTCAGTGACTGTGAAGGCATCTGGGAGGAGAGGAAGGAGAAACTATCAACTCAAAGGTTCTGATACGTTTGTACTGTAATTTCTGTCTAGTATGAAAGAACAACTTTCTGCACCTGATAAAAATTTGGACCTTACTAAATCTGATTTTGAAAGAGTAAGAGGACTGCAAATTTTTGAGATGGAAAAGGCAGTGCTGACATCTTAAGTTTTTTAACTTACATAGTTTGATTCATGTAACTCAAATTTTAATGTGCTTGAATATAGTAAAAAATACACTACAGTAATAAATGGGCCAGTTAAAACTTTTTTAAAAGTCCCTCTTCCCTTAACGGTCGGTATTCTTGTGTTTACATATGAAGATCATTTGCACCTTTACAAGGAAAACAAGTATTCTGTAAACAAATGTTTACATGTATCATTTATGCTTTTTTCTAGCATGAGTAACTTGTATAAATAGTGCTATCTTAATAAATTTCTTCTATGCTGTTCTTGGTTTGTTCCCTTGGGTGAAAGCAGTGGACATTGTATAGTTTGTGTGAACACAGATGCTGGTTTGGTTTTGGTTTTTGTTTTTTTCCAGGTACCAGTCCAAGTAAAACAGGCTTAAAACTCTGCTGTTTATTGCCACCCTCAATTGCTTAGAAGCACATCATTCAGAAACAGCTTTTTCTCTAAGAAAGCAGCCATACTACCTGGATGAATCTAGCTCTGGTCATTTTACTGCAGTTATCATTGAGGGCTATACTCCAATTTGTAGATGTTAAATTGGAGAAAGTAAGTTTTTATTTTAGCAGTACCTTAAAGCTAGGCTGTAGTAGATGTATGTATACATAGCAAAGCATCAGTTTTGAAAGCAGAGTATGGCCATAGTTGATATATGCACTCCACTGGAGTTTCACATGCTATTAGACTGTGTTCTTAAGGCAAAGAACTAGTTAAAAGAGGCTATATGGAATTTAGGTTTTTAGAGATTTATTCAAATTTGTTGGAAAGAGCTGAGCATTAGATTTAAAACTAAGCCATGGGTGTAACGGTGGTGTTTTCAAATCAAGTACAGGTGCCAGTTATATCAGACCTACTGCTTTACCCAGTGTTCCTCTGAATAAAGATAGCAAACTTTGTCTAAGACGTTTAATAAAAGGAAACTAAAGCACCAGAAGTGATAGTTTAAATGTGCTGTCAAAACCTTCAGGAAATTGCTTAGCTGCTTCTGTAGGATAAGAGCACTTTACAGACTGCAACCTCTACAAACAAAAATAATCCATCTTCAACTAGTAAACAAAAACTAAAACCAAGTGCATGTTTTTTTTAATAATCTATTTACAGAATTAGCTAAAGTAGATTAGGAACTAGGTGTGCAGTTACATCACATTAGGTGGTTAAATATTTGCATGGCTGGTTCATCTCCCTGTGTGGGGAGAAGGAAGAATGTTTTTAGTGACAGCTGACAAATCCTAAAATTACATGGTTGGCCAAAGAAGGGAAACTTGTCCCTGTTTAGGGGAGCATCACAGCACAAACTCCTCAGACCTCACAGATGGTGCAGAAGTGTGAAGTTATTACAAGTGAGTTGTATAAGAAACTAGACTTTAAATTTTGCTGCTCACAGAATTACTTAATAGGTAACAACGAGTAGTTAAATCAGGTAAACACCATACAAGTATATATTTAAGCAGGCATTCTTGGTCTTTACTTAGCTCAAGACCAATGTGTTGGTAAAAAATGGCAAATAATATTTAGTACTGTAACACAAAATTATAACACTTGACATGTGTTTACTCACTTTCTGCTTGTTTAGGCTATGATTAGGGCACTGTCCACCAGCTGTCTGAAATCCTGCCTACTGTAGTAGAGATCTAGGTTAAAATTTTAGCACCTATAGCTCCAACCCCAAGAACTCTGGAGCCTACAAGATTACATCAAAGATAAAAACCATCAGGCAAAGCACAGTAAATACCTATCTTATCCACAGCCCTTAATTTCTGATGTATTAACTAACTCATCTAAGACAGCCAACAGGCTGGATACAAAAGGCAGTTGTCAGGCTCATGCTGTTCAACTTAGCCCAACAGGACACAGATGAACTATTACCAACTGGCCTTAGCAAGATACAAAGGAATTTAGAAACCTGGATTTTTCTGTCCTGGGTTGCACAGCATGCACCCTTTCTCAGGGGTGTTTGACTCTGTGTTTAGATTGGCCCAAGAGTAGTCGCAGTTGAGCCAAGATTAAGGTTGGTATAGCTTAAGCTATCTACTTAAGTGAAAACCAACTTGCTATTTGAAAGAACAGAAATACCTGACAGCAAGCTGCATCCAAGAATTTGCAAAGTTTATCTCCTAGCCCCTGGCTGATACCTGTATCTCTGATGTAATACACATAAATGAACAGAATCACTATGATAAAGGTGCCTAAGAAGCTACTAGTATAGTTTGTAATGTAGCCCTTCTTTAGGGCACAAATGTCTGCTTGTCTTTACTGTGCATGACACTGAATTACAGCTAGAGTCGAGTGCAGGAGTTAAAGAGTCCAGTTTTGGCCACTCAGCATGAAAGCAAAGAAGATGCTGCAGGAATGACTTTCTACTTGATTTCTCAGCATATATCTTCCAGCAGTAGCCTCTTCAGCATGATTTCCTGAAATGACTCTCACTGTATCTGAGAGATTGCTAGTTCTGTCAGTAGCATCAGCACTTCAATTACATATTGGCTTTGTAGAAACTGCAAGAAAGAAAAAAAAAAAAAAGGCATGTAAAAATATTACAGTTGCCAGATTTCCACACCTTTAAATGGCTGAAAACCAGCTACATGTTCCATGTGTCTAGTCAGCTTCTCTGTTGTTTGCACAGTACCTTTGTTACTGTTTTGACCCTGGATATGGGAAGATACACATGCCTACATGCTCTCCTTTCAGAGCCCTCAGTCTTCTGCTCCTGTCCCACGTGAAGCAGGGTATCTTAAGAACTGTCCTGCTCCTACTCCAACTTTTTTGGAAGCTGAGAATCCTAGCACTCCTGCTCCTTCAGCTACCTCCCTTCTTTCGGAAGGCCAGGAAGGACATTGCCAATTTCCTTGAACACCCCTATTTTCCTATACCACATATATTCCTATTATGGAAGAGCCATAACTGAGTTTACACAACAGACATTCCAGAAGAGAATTTTCTTTTCTTCAGAAAGCCTATTCGGTTGAATACCATTTGTGTTTATTTAAGTGCAAAAAGTGTTTCAGCCACTTTTAAACTCCTGCAGATAAAAAGAAGCAATGCAACACTAACATTTAGCATTTGCAATTCTGCTGAAGGCCAGAATTGTTAAGAGATGCTTATCAGCAAAGTTTATTATCTCTCATTTGATGAGCACATGCTCCAGGAAAGAGGTGCATGAGGGGGGTCCTAGTTACAGCCTCTAACGTTCGCTCTGTACCCAGAATAATAAGGGCAGTGTGTCGTAGATGGAATTTAAGCAATTGCTTTTACACAAACTGTTCTTTAACTCAGACTTAAGAAACTTCAGAAAGGATTAAACCTCCGTGATTTTAAAAGACATTGTAGATACCTCTATAGGAAGACCAGTGCACCTTTATGAAAAGAGTTATAAGTGAAGTAGTTTTAAGCAAAACATTTTGACTCTTAAAATCGTCTTTTGTTTCACACACAAATTACTTTTATATAGCAGGTTAATTATATTTGTCTTCTGCCTGTTTTAATAACTGCAGTACTGGAAAGCTAGTATTATTCTTTTAAGGTTTTTTTTTATTAAGTCTGGGATCTTTTTAAGCTTCAGTACTGGGCAATGGGCAAAGAAATTTTCCTGTTCATACCACAGCTAATACACCTATTTCTGGCCCAAGACTAGGGTTAGTAGCTTCTGTTGCAGTACAGCGGTAAAATACTGTATTGATAGCCTGAACTCCAGAACCAGTTATGACTAATAAAACCCAAGGGCTTAACAATTTCTTAAAGGAAATAATGCATAAGAAACATGAAACCTTCATTTTTAAGAGTAAGGCATTTCTAGAGAGGTACAACTATTTTTTTTGGTCGCACATTAGTTAGGACAGTGTGCTACTTTAAACATCACCTTTATAATCCCATCACAGTGTGCTGAGGCAACTGTTGTAGAAACTTTCACCAGTTTTGTAGCTGACAAGTGGATCTTGAAGTGTCTGTGGAAGTGATAGTAAAGGCAATCCATAAAGACATCCACCTCTTCTTGTGTTACCTCTCCTGGAGTTTTTTGGACTGTGTCCCACAGAGCTTTTGCATCCTCTGGATGAATGGCATATGAAATATTCAGAGACTGGGGAAGATTGGGTACAGAGAAAAGAAGTTCCATAGCAGATGCATTTTCTTCCAACTTGCGTCCAGTCCACATAGCTGCCATCCAACTGAGATTGAGAGGGCTAATGGTTAAACGGTGGAAGCAGCAGTCAAAAGTCTTTTGAAACCAACTTCCAACAATGGATGTGTAACTCTCTGCCCCATTAGCAAGAAACACAGGTAAACAAGTGAAGTCTGCTGGCATGTTCTTGGAAAGATCATCTCCACACACACAACAGAACCAGCCCGACCATACCAGTTTCTCTTCTGACTTCTTTTGGGAAGCTTTTGATCGCAAAGAAAGCTGGGATAGGGAAGAGAAGCATTTGAATGCTACAGAACAAGGTAGGACTTTTTTTAGCCTTTTTTTTTTTTTTTGTTCGTTTTATAATCTCAAGCATTTGGTACATTTTTTTCTCAGGAACCTCACATACAACATTATTTTCTGCAAAGGTCATACAGTTATTCAGTCTGTTACATCCCTAAAAGACATGTGCAATTCTGTTGAAAACAGCAGGAAAAGCACTTAATTAGGAATGGTACTGAGAATTAAACTTATGTTGCTTAATTCAGAAGAGCCAAGCCATGGTACACACTGATCATTGCCATATTGAACTTGGCATTTCAACAGCATCTTGTCAAGGCATTTTGGAAATGCTGATTAGACTTGAGCTATGGCCACAAGGTAGGATTATGCCAACTTCACCCAGGAAGTTCTTGCTGTTAATTGACTGCTCACTAAAAAAAATAGATGAGGATTGCTCCTTGTAGTCTTACTCTGATCTTATAAAAAAGTTTAAACTCAAAATTGCGTTACTTGTGTTCCAGTTAAAAATAGACCAGGTTCACTTATATTAAATTTCAAGAGACACTACAGTAGTTACCACACAGAGCTAGGGTTTAATTGTGGGTTGTTTTTTTTTTTTTTAGGAGTGGTGGTGTGTGGGTGTTTTTTGTTGTTTTTTTTTTTTTTTAGAGGTAGAGCGTTTTATGACACCAAAAGCAACTTGCAAATCTCAATTACAGTTATCAATACGGCCGGGAAGGATCCTTACCTGCACGAGAACTGCAGCCTCGTCTTCGTCACTACCTTTCAGGTCTGGAAGGCTGGAGATAGCCACTTTGATGTCCAGCTCAACCCCTACTTCCACCGCCAGCCCCTTCTGCTTCTCGCCGGCGATATACGCACTCAGGAGTTTAGTGTAAGCCTTCAGATGAGCGCTAGAGAATTTATACAGAGGAGTCACACTGTATAAGGCCCACTGCTTGCGCAGTAGAAACGCTGTTGCCTGGGAATCTAAGTTTCCCTAAAGAAAATAAACAAACAAATACATACATACATAAATTGAAATAAGAACACACACCCTCCCTTTCCCCAGCGGTGAGGAACAGCTTCCCCAGTCTGGGCTTGCAGGAGGACCCCCAGCCGGCCCGGCTCCACCGCCGCTCGCAGTCTCTGCCCGAACACGCAGAGATTTCCCGCCTGGCAGCACCACGGGAGCGGTGCCTAGCGGGAGACGGCAGCACTGAGACGAGTCCCACATAACGCGGGAACAGCGGAGGAGCGAGCTCGGCCGAGGGCCGAAAGGATAAGTAGGACTCACCGCATCCACCACCCAGTCCTACCTGCAGCAGCAGCCGACCGCTGGGGCTGAGGCCGCACCGCCCGTGAGCTCGCCCAAATGGCAGCCCCCACGACAGCTGCCCCATGCTGGGCAGCGTCCGCGCCGCCCCATCCAGCGACTCCATGACTAGCAACGACCCGCAGCACCACTCCCCGCCAGTCACTGTTTGAACTCTCTTCCCGTCAGCCCCGCGGAGCCGGAAGTGGGGAAGGACCCAGTCTTCTCCGATGCAGCTACGCTGCTGGGCCTAAGAGCGAGAAGGTGTTTCCTGGTGAGCTGGGGGTAGTAGGCCTTATCGTGAGGTGACTTGTCTGCTGCAGCTGGGCCCCGCCTGGCCCTGGCTGGAGGGGCTTTGCTCCCGCTGGTGCCCCAGCCTCCTTCCCGGGAGATGGCGCCCCGGCGCAGGGCTCCCCTGGAAGGGAGAGATTGAAGCTGGTGGGCCGGAGCTTTTCCTCCTGTGTCTGTATTTGTAACGACTCAAGGTTTGTGACTGTCCCCTTTTGTCTGTGGTTCAGGTGCAGCTGTAGGATGGCGCTGTTGTGGGTGCTGCCCAGGGTGCTGCCGGAGCTGGCCCGAGGGCTTACCCGGCCGGGCTGCGGGCGGGCTCTGCGCAGGGCGGCCTCTGCCTCAGCGTCGGTGACTCCAGGTGAGACAGAAGCGCTTTATTTCCGTCCCTTCCTCTTTGGTTATCGCTTTGTCCCTAGGATCCAGGTCAGGGTAGTCTGCACGCACAGTTAAGGGCACACTTACGACAAATTGTCCTCCTTGGCTCACTTTTTAAGTGTAATTTTAAAATCATGTTTTTATTTAGCCTTTGTTTTCTCTTGATGAATTATGACTTAAAGTATACCAAGACCTTTTTTTTTTTTTTCTTTGAGCTTTTACTTTATTTTTTGACCCTCTTTCTTACGTAGCACACTATCTGTAAACAGGGGTAGTGGAAGGCCCTAATGAAATAGTTTGAAACCAAACCTTTGTGCCCTTTACTTTAATCTTTTAACTGTAAAGCCTGTGATGTAGCAAGGAAGATCAGTTCACATAGTTACATATATGTTTAGGTAATAGTTTCTTTCAATTTTTTCCTTGTGAGCTGAATTTCTTGAATATTTTGTAAATGGTGTGCTTGGTTTTGTAAGTTGTGATGCCAGGCACACAGGTCTGTGGAAGGGCTTCTGTAGTAATGGTTCAGGCCTTTTACCAGTAGCTGCAGGCAGGAAACTTCAGCTTGTACCCACATGGTTGGTGTATGTATGTTTCTGTCCTGGCTTGTCTGTTTTATTTTCTAGATTTGACTATGGAATTGTCATTATGCCTCAGGACTGATCTGCAGCTTTCCTTTTCCTTGCCCCTGAAATATTTAGGGTAACAGTTTGCAGAAAGACAGTGTTCAGATTTCTTTGTGAAAGTTTGATTGAGACATATAAATAATTCCTTTAAAAAACTTGATTAGGATAATTTCATATCATATGTCCTGATGCCTTATAGTAGTTTTGTTGGGGATATATGAAATAATTGTGTACATCTAAAGTGTATTTGGATTGGGGAGCAAAACTATCACTGCTTTGTCTAGCTTGTCTTCAAAAGCCACAAAAGGTTTTATTATTTTTATTCAAGACTTCAATAGTTTTGTCACTCGGACAAATACTTGTGGAGAGCTACGTTCTGCTCATGTGGGACAAGAGGTCACACTGTATGGATGGATTCAGTATCAAAGGTAAATGCAAACAAAGGTGAAAATGGAGATGCTTGTTTTCCAGATTCAGTATCTGCTGTAGGCCTGGATTCAAACACTTCTTTTTATGCTTCAGGCTGTAGAATCATGTAATGGTTTGGGTTGGAAATAACCTTAAAGATCATCTAGTTCAAACACCCCTGTCATGGACAAGGACACCTTCCACTAGACCATATTGCTCAAAGCCCAGTCCAGCTTGGCCTTGAACAGTGCCAGGAATGGAGCATCAACAGCTTCTCTGGGCAACATGTTCCAGTGTCTCGCTGCTCCCATAGTGAATAAATTCTTCTTAATGTCTCATCTAAATACCTCCTTTTTCATCTTAAAGTCATTCCCCCTTGTCGTGTCACTACATGGGCTTGTAAAAAGCCCTTCTCCAGTTTTCTGTATGCCCCCTTTAGGTACTGAAAGGCTGTTACAAAGTCTTCCCTGAGCCTTCTGTTTTCCAGCCTGAACAAGACCAACTTTCAGCCTGTCTTCATAGCCAGTGTACCATCCCTCTGATTGTTTTTTGGCCCTCCTCTGGGCCCTCTCCAGCAGGTCCATATCTTTCCTGCACTGGGGACTCCAGAGCTAGATGGAGTACTGCAGGTGAGGTCTTATGAGAGCAAAGTGTAGGGGCAGAATCCCCTCCCTCGACCTGCTGGTCACAGTCCTTTTGATACAGCCGAAAACATGGTTGGTTTCCTGGCTGTGAGCACACACTGCTGACTCATGTTGAGCTTGTCAACCAGCACCCCTGGGAAGGTCTCCCATTTCCTTCTGGAGAGGACCCATGTTTTCCCTTGTCTTCCTTTTATCCCCAGGTGTACCTGTAGAAGTTTTTCGTGTTGCCCGTCGTGTCCTTGGCCAGATTCAGTTGTGTCTTGGCTTTAGCTTTCCTAAGCTAATTCCCTCCTTTTTTTTTTTCTCCCTGGATTTGTTCTGGAGCAACTTCATCCACACAGGCCTCCTGGTGGTCTTGCCTGGCATCTTCTTTGTTGGGTTGTATCGCTTCTGCGCTTGAAGGAGGTGATCTCTGAATATTAACCAGCTTTCCTGGACCCCTTTTCCCTCCAGGGCTTTATCCTGTGGTACTCCTCCAAGCAGATCCCTCAAGAGGCTGAAGTCTGCTCCCCTGAAGTCCAGGGTAGTGAGCTTGCTATGTGCCCTCCTCGCCATCCTAAGGATTTCAAACTCCACCATTTCGTAGTCAGTGCAGCCAAGGCTGCCCTCAAGCTTCACGTTCCCCATCAGCCCCTCCCTCTTGGTGAGGATAAGGTCCAGCATTGTCACTCTCCTTGTTGGTTCATTCCATCGCATGAAGAAGGAAGGTATTGTCAAGGTGTTCCAGAAACCTCCTGGGTTTATTGTGCCCTGACTATAAAGGGCCTCATCCACTTTGTCTTCCTGATTGGGTGGCCTCTAGCAAACACTGTACTGTCCCATCCCTGGCCTCCCTTTAATCCTGACTGATAAGCTCTCAGTTGGCTTCTCATCCATCACCAGACAGAGCTCTGCGCACTCCAGCTGGGCATTGGCTGTCACTGGCAGTCACTGATGTGACTCTCCCTCTTCGACTCCCCAGCCTGCTTTTCCTGAAGGGCCTTTGTCCTTCCATTCCAACACTCCATCTCCATGATGCCAGTGAGATAGTAACCCTTCAGGTGTATGCACACTTCTAACTCCTCTTGCTTGTTCCCCATGCAATGTATGTTGGCATAGAGGTGTTTAAATTGGGCCCCTGATGATGCTGGCTTATTGGCTGGAGTGGCTGAAGTCCTGTCTTTTCATGTCCTGCAGTAGTTGCTTCTGAAGTGGGTAAACCAGTTGAGAACTGTGCCAGATCAGTATTTAAGATTTCAGAGCTTTATGCAAATCTTAATTGATCCTCATTGCAGCACTTTGAAGCAGTTAAATATTATTACCCTTGTTGTATAGGAGAAAAAACAAGTAATAGCATATTTATAGCAATTCTAACAGCTGTGAGCAAATAACATCTTTTATATAACATCCTTAAATTTTAAGCAAGTGATGTTTGTCTCTTCAACTACAGCATCTAATCATGCATATTTAAAGAATGCAAGTTTTGCTTAAAAAGGAAATATTAAAGTCATGAAGCTTTTAAGAAGAGCAGCTGGTGAAATGTTAGTTCCAATAGTTTGCTATAGGTTGCATGATATAATCACTCCCACTGAAGTTGAACGTTTTGTAAATATTGGGTGAAAGGCATGTCTGCATACAACATGGAGTTTCAGGAAGCAGTTAGGATTATTGCACTGCAGTTGTTGCACTCTTGCTTTTAAAGAGGGGCAAAGCATGTTCTATTTGACAGCTTCTTGATGGATTAAGTACAGTGGTGGTTGTCTCTACTGCAGCTGAAGAGGTCAAGATGTATGATTCTGGATCTAGGACTGTGGATTGTTCTTGTGAAACTTCTAATGGGACCAATGTTCTTATTTGGTAGTTGGAGATTTTTTTTTGTTTTCTATCCATGTGAACTTTAGTTTTATTGCTCATCTAAATGTGATGTTTCCTAGCTGGAAACCACACATATTCAGAATTCCTGCTCTACATGGGTTAACTTTCAAGGTAAAATCCTGCCTCTCCTGGTTATTTGCACATGTTTGTGGCTGGGCAAAATCTGAAGTAAATTATTCAGTTTAGATTCAGGTGTGGAAAAAGTATCTGTATGTACACTGGTTGGAAGTGCTTTGAGACTAGTCAAGAGCTACAGAAAGTAGCTAGTTGCTATGTACTTTGGCTTAAAAAGCAGAAGACTGCTGCATTCTTGGAAAAACCTGTTTTTCCTTTTGTGTTTTCCATGGATCAGACAAAGCCTGTTTCTGGTTTTGAGGGATTTCCAGGGACTGATCCAGGTCATCATTCCACAAGATGAGGTAAGTGCTACCAAAATATGAGTGTCTGTCTTATTTTTACTTTTCCTTTGATAGCATGGATCCAGCAGACACAGAGTACAGAAGGAAGTACTTTGTCAGACTGAGTGTTCTGGGTCACAGGTAGGTTTAAGTGTTATAAGAGCCCTGATCTGAGATAGTAATGAAAACATCAGTGCTCTCCTCTGGCTTATGAGGAGTGATCCTGGAATCAAATGAGCTGTTTAGAAAAGAGGCTTCTGAACATGGTGTATTTGTCCTGTTTGAATTTCTGTGAGACACTGTCATCTTCTTGCAGGCACATTCCCATGTGAAAAATCTTTTGTCTAATGCCCCAGTGGAATCTGTTGTTCGAGTGACTGGAATTGTGTCACTTCGACCCCCAGGGCAGGAGAATCCGGTGAGTATGCTGGGAACACTGAGGGGTTTTATTCCTTTGGGAAAAGAGCACTGGACAACAGAATTATGGTGGGTTTTGTGTCATAGCTTTGCCATAGTTTCTGGGTGTGTGACAGCCTATCCCTAGATAATGTGAGGTGAGAACTGCTATGACATGTAACTTAGGAGAATCTCAAAGCACACTGCAGATA